TTTGATTAATTTTTTTTTTTTTTTTTAAATATTACACAACTTTTTGTTGTATGATTTTTTTTTTCGAAAAGTTAAAAATAATTATTATTTCCAACAACTTTTTCTTTTTTTTTTTATTTTTCAGACATATTTAATTTATATATTTACGCTTGTTTTGCCAATTTTAATTAAATAAAAGATATTTAATTTTATGAAAGAATTTACAATTTTAGATAAAATTCATTCACTATTTTTACTTTTGCCAAATTAATTTCGACAAACGCAATCGATGATATCCAATCATTTTCCTGATTTTTGTTGAATTTGAAATATTTTTGGAAGTAAATTAATTTAATGTTTTCTTCTTCCTTCTCATGAATTATCATTATGAAATTTACATCTGGTGATATTTTGAATTTTTTCCATTTTTTTTTCCATTAATTTATTCAACAATGAACAGGAAAAAATTAGCTGATAATAAATTCTCCTTTCATTACCAGTATACATTTATCAGTTTCTCATTATTGATAAGAGAATTGATAAGCGTGATATTTATTGTTGTTAAAATGGTTATACTAATCATCACATTTCATTTATCAACACGGCAAATGATTCCTATAAATATTCATGGATAAAATAACATAAAAAGAAATGCATAAATTTTGCAACCATTTGGTACATATTATCCGCGATCACTTATCAGTTTATTATCATTATCATGCTGTAGCATTGTACTGATTATCATTAACAATACCAATCATTATTATCAGTGATATTCATTATCAGAATTTATCCACAATCTATGATCGAATCTCTAATAGTTATACCTATAATATCATTATTATTTACAATCTTCCCACAAGAATAGCTACTGACCGATACGAAAAGTAAACATTGTCAAAAAGGTTTGATTGTCATCACATGCAAATACATATGCATTCATCCGAATCGTTCATTAACCTTTACGTCGATTACGAAAATGTATTACGAATAACAATTAACTTAATGAAATGCGTGTAATGACGTAAATGGCGTAAAGAGGGAACCGATTCACGTTATTTTTCAATTTAACTTTTGATCTTTTTTTTTTCTTTGTTTACAGTTCTTAATACCGATCGTTTAATGTTCAGAACTAAAACAGCTAACTGATAAAGTTGAGTACCGTTTAAAAAAAAAAGAGTAATAAATTTTAGAAGTGGATAAATAATTAGTAATTAATGGATAAATAATTAATAATTAGAAAATGGATATATAATTAGTAATCACTGATTAGATGATCAGTATAATACAAGTAATTAGTAATTGTTAATTAGATAATCAGTTTAAATAATACAAATAATTAGTAATTGTTAATTAGATAATCAGTTTAAATTTGCATCATTATGTCACCGTCAATTTTTTACAATCTGATAGTGTAATGTAAAATTAAGAATTACAAAAAACATTTTTGGCATGAAAAAGTCTAATTAATTAGACGATCAATGCAATACAAGTAATTAGTGGTAATTGATTGGATGATCAGTAGAGTACAAGTAATTAATAATCACTGATTAGATGATCAGTACAAATAATTGATCAGTAGAGTACAAGTAATTAATAATCACTGATTAGATGATCAGTACAAATAATTGATCAAGTAGAGTTTTACAAGTAATTAATAATCACTGATTAGATGATC